CCATGGAGGGACACAAGCGCTGGGAGGGACAGAGCCTGGGGGCCTTGGATCCTCCTTGACCATCTCCCTCGTGCCCACAGACGGGCCGCATTGACAAGGCCTACCCAACGGTGTGTGGGCACACGGGACCTGTCCTGGACATCGACTGGTGTCCCCACAACGACGAAGTCATCGCCAGCGGCTCGGAGGACTGCACAGTCATGGTGAGCTGTGGGGCTCTGATGGGACTGGGGTCACATGTATGGTTCCAGGCTGCGGGAGGCAGGGCAGAGCAGGGGCCTCAGCTGGCGGCCTCGCCCCTCCCACAGGTGTGGCAGATCCCAGAGAATGGGCTGGCCTCCCCGCTGACAGAGCCCGTGGTGGTGCTGGAGGGGCACACCAAGCGAGTGGGCATCGTCACCTGGCACCCGACGGCCCGCAATGTGCTGCTCAGCGCAGGTCTGCACCTCTCCCCTGCCCCCGCCCCTCCACACACACCCTCCCCCAGACCCATCTGACAAAAGGGAAAGCTGAGGCCCACAGCGGGCAAGAGGCTGGGTCCGGTCCCAGGAGGGTGGTCAAAGGGGACCGTGGGCTGATGGCCGCCTGCCTGGCAGGCTGTGACAATGTGGTGCTCATCTGGAACGTGGGCACGGCGGAGGAGCTGTACCGCTTGGACAGCCTGCACCCCGACCTCATCTACAATGTCAGCTGGAACCGCAACGGCAGCCTCTTCTGCTCCGCCTGCAAGGACAAGAGCGTGCGCATCATCGACCCCCGCCGGGGCATCCTGGTGGCGGTACGTGGGCCTAGAGGGTGAGGATGGCAATGGACAGGCCAAGGGGCTCTGCTGGGGCACTGCACTGACTACTCTGTCCCCCTGACAGGAGCGAGAGAAGGCTCACGAGGGCGCCCGGCCCATGCGGGCCATCTTCCTGGCGGATGGCAAGGTGTTCACCACCGGCTTCAGCCGCATGAGCGAGCGGCAGCTGGCGCTCTGGGACCCAGTGAGTGGCCATGCCCTGCCTGAGGGGGCAGGCTCGAGACAGGTCCCACCCTGGGCGAGGAGATCAGGGGTCACCGTGGAGAGGTCTGTGGTTCCCGGGTTCTCAGCCTGGCACCTGAGGCTCTCAGGACCCGGAGCCCTGCCGCCTTCCCTCCTTTGCTTGCCTGTTTCCACCCAGCAGCCCTTCCAGGCCCAATGCAGAGCCCCTCCTCCAGGAAGCCTCCCAGCCCTTCCCTGAAGTGCTCCATGCATAGCCCTACACTTCTGTATCATGACCTCCAGGGTCCCCTGAGACAGGGGCTGGTGCTCCTGTGTGGTGGGGACTCTCAGCACTCGCTCAGACACCTGGGAGTTGTCTAAAGGCCTAGAGTAGGCTGGGAGCAGAGGGGCCAGGCGGGCCTGGCGGGGCACACCATGCGGGTAGTCTTAGAGGTGGGAGAGAACCCACTGGCCTGGTAGGGCTATGCTGGCTGCTGTGCAAGGGAGGCAGAGGGAAGGTTCTGGCTTGGCCTGACTGCCCCCTACCCCCACGTGCCAGGAGAACCTCGAGGAACCAATGGCCCTGCAGGAGCTGGACTCTAGCAACGGGGCTCTGCTGCCCTTTTACGACCCTGACACCAGCGTGGTCTACGTCTGTGGCAAGGTAGGGCTGGGCAGGCTCGTGGGGCAGCGGGGAGGGGTGCCCGAGCGCTGAAACCTGCCCCCTCCCACCCCACAGGGCGATTCCAGCATCCGGTACTTTGAGATCACAGATGAGCCCCCCTACATCCACTTCCTGAACACGTTCACCAGCAAGGAGCCCCAGAGGGGCATGGGCAGCATGCCCAAGAGGGGCCTGGAGGTCAGCAAGTGCGAGATCGCCCGGTAAGAGAGGCCACCAAGGCAGCCAGCTGTGGGGGAGGGGGGTGGCCTGAGGGGCAGGGGCCAGGCCATGGCATCAGGGTGAGAGGTCAGATTATAGGAGGCTTCTAGAAGGCCCCAGGGTCAGGGGTCAGTCTCTGGAAGGTGCTAGAGTGAGGCCTGGAAGTGGAGAGTAGAGGAAGCCAGGAGGGCTGGTGGGAAGATTCCATCCACAGCTCCTTCCTCTCCCTTTCCAGATTCTACAAACTGCACGAGCGCAAGTGCGAGCCTATTGTCATGACTGTGCCAAGAAAGGTGAGGCCACCCCATTCCCCTGTCCACCCGCTCCCTCGTCTAGCAAACAGGCCACTCGGGGGTGACCAGGGTGAGGCCTGTGAATGGAATATGGCCGAGTATGGGTACAGTCAGTGAGCTAGACAGACGCCAGCGTATTGGGCTGTGTTGCGCAGGGGGCAAGCTGGGATGAGACGCAGGGCGAGCTGAGGCCCCGCCCTGGACAAGCCTTAAGGAGACAGCTCTGGAGGCCTCCCTGTAGGAAGCCAGCTGACGACACAGCTGGTGCAGGGCCCTCCAGGGGTGGGCAGCAGGCCAGGCGAAGGGCACAGAGGTGGGAATGGAGAGGGACAGGGAGTCTGGCTGCAGTGGAGGCCCCCGTGGGGAGGGGATCAGGCCACATGTGGCTGGGCCTCAGATGCCCAGCCAAGAGCCTTGGACGTGCTTCATCCTTCTGCAGCCAGCATTTGCTGAGCGCACCATTCAGCGTGCCAAGCGCGTCCCAGGGAGCCCAGCTGCGAACAAGGCTCACAGGGCTGCCCCAGGTGCTCACAGTCGTGGGCACAGCTGTGGCTCCCAGAGTCCCACCAGGCCCCCTAGCTGGCGCTGCTTAGGAAGGCTGGGGAAGGCTTCAGAGGGATGGCAGTGTGCGGAAGGGAAGGGAAGGGCAAGTTTTCAGTTTCGAAACGTGACTTGGGGCCAGGCCACTGGAGAACGGGTTGACAGGGTGCAGGCCCGGAGGCCAGGAGAGTGAAAAGGTCCAGACGAGAGGACCGTGACGGTGTCCCTTCAGCTGATCCAGACCTCCCCCACCCTCTGCCCAGTCGGACCTCTTCCAGGATGACCTGTACCCTGATACGGCCGGGCCCGAGGCGGCCCTGGAGGCAGAGGAGTGGGTGAGCGGGCGGGACGCCGACCCCATCCTCATCTCCCTGCGGGAGGCCTACGTGCCCAGCAAACAGCGGGACCTGAAGGTCAGCCGGCGGAACGTGTTGTCTGACAGCCGGCCTGCTGTGGCCCCGGGCTCCGCGCGCCTGGCGGCCTCCACACCTGCCACCTCCACCCATACGACTGCCCCCAGCAGCAGCCTCGCTGGGGCCGGGGTACGTGCCGCACAGGGTGAGGTGGTTTGGGGAAGCCCTGTGTGCGGTGTGCCTGAGCCATCTGCCGGCCCTCTCTGAGCTTCAGGCCCCTGCCTGGTGGTAGGTTTGGGGAGGGCTGCAGCTCTGTGACCCCGACCCCCCCACCCAATGTCCCTGCAGGAGGCTGGGAAACTGGAGGAGGTGATGCGGGAGCTGCGGGCACTGAGAGCGCTGGTCAAGGAGCAAGGGGAGCGCATCGGCCGCCTGGAGGAGCAGCTGGGCCGCATGGAGAATGGGGACGCCTAGGACCATAGGCCCAGTGGATGCCACGCCCCCTCACCTCCTCCTCCTCCACCCACTTCTCACTCAGCCTCTGCTGGCAGGCCACACCGATAGCTGGCTGCCCCCTGCCCCCTGCCCCCTGCCGAGGGCCTCTGGGGCAGGCTCGGGGCCAGCCCACACCCTGATCCATCCTGTGGGCCAGGCTGGAGCCACCGCCTGGCTTTTGTCTTTGTTACTGTGGAGGATTTTTGTACCAAGGCGAGCTTATGTGAGGGACCCTCTCTCCACACGCCCACCCGCCCCCTGCTCCCTCCCGGAGGAGTGGGAGGGATGGGCTCTATATTTTCATTCCAAATAAAATTCACTTTCTAAAAGCCAGGTTTGCCACTCTACTGCAAAGGTGGGGCTGGGAGAGGAAGTCTGGAAGTGGAGACAGGTGAGGCCCGCAGGGGTCTTGTCTGGGAGAAAGGCTGGGGCCGTGAGCATCCCCCACAGCCATAGCTTCCCTGAATTCTGCCAGGAAGGAGCTGAGGCAGAAGACATGTGGGAATCTCTAGGGCCGTGTCCCACTTTGAGCTGGGTGCCCAGTCCCTCCTCTCGGAGGCCTGGTCACAGAGCCCAGAGCACCAACCTCGCCCAGTGAGACCTGTGAGGCTCTGGCGTGGGTCAGGGTGGTCCCGAGAAGCCCAAGGTCCCCCAGGGGCCTATGGCAGCGAGGTTCTGGGTTGGGTGTTACAGGCAGGAAGCGGAAGCGTCGGGTCAAGTAACCCCTAGCTGCAGTTGAGCGCGAGAGCACATTTCTCACTCTGCACAACCAGAGCTGGAGGTGGGCGCCCGGCGCTGAGAGGCCCGCAGACTGATGGTGAGCGCGGCAGCCCGCTGGGGCCTTGGGGTGGGGGGGTGACAGGAGGTCAGGGCTGGAATGTCTGGACCTGGGAGCTAAGGAAGGATTCCCCCTACTGGGGTCCGGGGCAAAAGAAACCAGTTGGGGCAGAGGCGAGAGCCAGGTTGGGCATGGGGCAGAAGCTGGGCCTCCCTGGGACTCAGGATGTGGTCCCATGTGCCCCACTCCAGGCCCAGCCCCACTTCGAGACCCCTGATAGACCCTCACCTGTTCCGCTGCTCGTGAGCTGGGACTAGGGCACAGCCCCATTTGCATCCCTGCAGCCTGGGCGGACAGCCCGCGAGGGGTGTCTTGCTTGTGCCTCAGCACCCCTTCCCCCACACACCCCCACCTGCCTTGTTCCAACCGCAGGCTTCCTCTGGCAGCTGCACCCGCCTCCCTCAGCCCAAGGCCCCCAGGGACGCAAAGTTGAATTGAACGGAAACACTGCAGCTGGGGCAGCAGTGGAGCAGTCCCCAGGGGCTGGGAGGGACAGGAGTCCGAGGGGCCCAGCCAAGTGGAGGCTAAACACTTGTCATGGGTTTGGTTCCTCCATCCAGGGCCTCAGGAAGAGCCAGCCCCAACACCTGCCTTGCAGGCTCCCCCACCCCGCGGGCAGAGATTTGACAGCCAATGTTTATTGAGCACCTACTATGCATCTGGTTGAGCCAGACAGATCCCTCTCTTCCTGCAGCCGATTCTGGTCGAGGGAGATAAAACAGTAAACCCAATACACAGCAGCTTATCTACTGGGTTGGGGTGGGGAGGAGTAGAGCTAGGCTGGGTGGGGCTGTAGGAGAAAGGTCAGGGTGGTGACCCAGGCCCGGCTGGCCTCACTGCTGTGCTCTGAGCTGAGGTGAGCAGGTAAGCCATGTGGCTGGGAGGAAGAAGTCAGATGGAACACTCCGGGCAGGGGCCCCCTGCTCAAGCGGGCTTATGAGGTGCAGTGGGAGGGAGGGAAGTGGCCACATCTCACAGGGCCTTGTTGACTAAGGACTTGGGCTTTCTGTTTGTCCCCATTTTGCCCAAAAGGCAATGGAGGTCCCAGTCACCCAGCCTGCCCACGGCCTGGTCCCCAGCCCAGGTGGTGAGCCCCCGTCTGTCTCCCCACAGGACCTGCCCTGTGCCCTAGGGCTTGGGACACTGCTGGCCCTGCCGGGGGTCCTGGGCTCAGGTGGCAGTACCAAGGACAGTGCGGGCTCCAGCTCTGTCACTGTCGTCCTGCTGCTGCTGCTGCTCCTCCTGCTGGTCACAGGCCTGGCCCTGGCCTGGTGCCGCCTCAGCCGCGACTCGGGGGGCTACTATCACCCAGCGCGCCTGGGCGCCGCACTCTGGGGCCGTACCCGCCGCTTGCTCTGGGCCAGCCCTCCGGGCCGCTGGCTTCGGGCCCGGGCTGAGCCAGGGTCACCGGATGAGGACCCCGAGTGGCAGAATGAGCAGGACGTAGAAAACAACTATAGCCTGGATGGGGACCGGGACGAGGCGGAGCCCCAGGGAGAGGAGCAGCAGTGTGGAGAGCAGCCCCGCCCACGGCAGGGCCCAGAACCCGGGCAGGAAGCACACGACGGCGACGCCGAAGCGGGCCTGGGCCTCAGCTCCCAGGGGCCAGAGGGCTCGGCAGGCAGTGCTGAGGCCCTGCTCAGCGACCTGCACGCCTTTGCCGGCAGCGCGGCCTGGGACGACAGTGCTACGACAGCCGGGGGCCAGGGCCTGCACGTCACTGCGCTGTAGGGCCAGCCCTGGGCCCCGCTCCCGTCACCGTGCCTCCGCTTCCCCAGCCGCCGTGACTGGACGCAGCCTGCCCTGGACCCACTGTCACCCACATCCCCACACGGAGAACTTCAGACTGTCACTCTGCTCCCCCCAGTGCTGTCCCCAAAGCTGTACATCCCCACTCCCTCCAGGAAGGACCACCCATTCCCAGGGGCATTGGGCAGCCCTCTCAAATAAAACCCCTCCAGCCCCGTGGTTCTGGATCCTGTAGTGACCCTTCATCCCCAAGCAGGGGCTCCTCAGGCACAACCCCACCCACTCCAGTCCCCAGAGCCCAAAGGAGGAGCCAAGTCAGTGCCATGATGCGATACTTTAATTCTGCAAGGGCACAGCTCCGCTGCAGCAGCCCCTCACGCTCATGATTCAGGGGCACAGCCACCCCCAGCAGAGACACATGCTCTCACACACTCACTCCAGTACCCCGGGACACTCCCCGATCTCTGGGACTGCCCCAGGGTCCCACTGTCCTCACAGCCTGCAGGGAAGGGCCCCAATAGCTGTCTTCATCCCTACTCGGCCTGCTAGCGCCCAGGGCGCCCGCGACCCCTCTTAGACTTCTTGGTCCCCGAGGGGGGTTGGATGGGGAGAGGGGCAGTGCTTGAGGGTGGTGGCGGCGGCAGGAGAGGAGGTAAAGGGGGCTCCATGGGCTCCGGTGGGCCAGGGCTAGGCCGGAACCCCTCAAAGGGTGACAACTTCAGGGGGCTGCAGGGGAAACGAAGGCAGAGTCTTCACCTACTGGCACCAGGGCGGGCAGGTGGGCTGACTTCCCCAGCTGCCTGGGTGCCCACCCACCCCAGGGCTGCCGGCAGAGCCAGAGCTGGAACTGATCTCATGCCCGCCTCTGCCCTGAGGTACCGACCTGATGGGGGTCCGGGGGCTGCTGTTGAGGCGTCTGGGGGAGCGCAGTTTGGGCTGAAAGTTGAAGCCCTCTCTGATGCTGTCCAGGACGGAGGGCGCCACGTATGTGAAGCCCTGGCGGGTAGAGGGGGGGCCGGGGTGCTCAGCACGCACCACTCCTCAGTCACGATCCCCGCACGTGTCCCCAGAACCACTGGGCCCCCAGACCTCACCAGGAAGGCCTGGTTGGCGCTCTCACTGAGGGCCGTGTCGTCTGGGCTGTCCACTGGCGTCTGCCGTGTGAAGCGGGTGTCAAACTGGCTCACGTCGTCCTCTGATTGCTGTGGGCAGACCCGAGCTGGGGGGGGTCAGGGGGCATCCAAGGCAGGGGTCCTCCACCCGCCTCTGGGCCAGTGGGACCTCCACTCACCAGACAGGGCCGGAAAGGGGGGTCCACGCGGCGGGCCAGGAGATCGTCCCAATTAATGTGCCGAAAAAAGGGGTGCCTCTGTGGGTACAGTGCCCCCAAACATGCCACCAGTTCACCCCCCCTTGGCTCCCTCAGGAACTCTCTGCCCTAACAGCCCCACCCCCTCGTGGTGACCCCAGACCCACCTGCACATCGGCAGCGTCCCCGGGGCCGCCCCCGATCCGCTGGCTGGGATTCCGCTTCAGAAACTGCAGAACAAGGGCAGAGGGTGAGGGTCTGGGGGACGGGTACTGCCTCGTGTGTCCCCCATGTTCCTAGGGGCTGGCTGGAGTGCGGGATACGGGGAGAGAGGAGGCCTCTGGAGTGTGGTTTCCACTGACACTCCAGGACTCCCGGGGTTCGGTCCAATGTCCCATGTCCCATGAAGCCTTCACCAAGGCACGTGGTTGCCGCATCACCCCAGGGCGCTGTGGTGAGTGCCATTTCGCATAGGTGCCTCCCGCCCGTGCCCTCTGACGGACAGCTCATCCTGAAGTTTGCAGATTGGAATTTAGACTAGACTTTTCCGGGTCAGTGGCTGCTCTGTCACAGCTAAGCCCCAAGTTCCATGTCTGGGACCCCAAACCCGGTGCTCCTCCATCCCAAAGGCACAGTACACAGCAGGGGTGGCTCTGGCTCGCCACAATCCAGAGACACTCAGAGACTCATGCAGGGCTTGGGAGAAGAGACGACGGCCACCTTTTTGACGAGGTCGCGGGCATCCGGGGTGAGGTACGGGGGCAGCACCAGCTTCCCTTTGATGATCTTGTCCATGGTCTTCTTCCGGTTCTCTGCAGTGAAGGGTGGCTGGAGGGGGGTGGAGGGTAAAAGGAGCCTTGTGGGCCTCCCACCGGCACTGCCCCTGCCCTGAGCGGGAGTCCGCCTCCCGCCCCCACTCCTGCCCTCCCGAGGAGGCTGGACTTGCCGATCCAGTGAGCATGTCGTACATCAGGGCCCCCAGGCTCCACCAGTCCACCGCCCGGTTGTGGCCACTGCGCACCAGAATCTCAGGGGCCCTGGGGGCCAGGTGGAACCGTCAGTTGGGCCGGGCCCTTCCTGGCTGTCCTCCCCACCCCTGGGCCCAGCCAGCTGCAGCTGCCCCTTACATGTACTCAATGGTGCCACAGAAGGTGTGGGTGACAGCGCCCTCGTGAATCGACTCCTTGCAGAGTCCAAAGTCCGTCAGTTTGATGTGGCCTGAGAAGAACGTTGGCGGTCAGGGTCCTAGGCCACCCCGCGGGCCATCTGCCCTCCCGCAAGATGTCCACTCGGGAGCTGCAGCCGCACATGTGCGCACCCTGGCTGTTGAGCATGATGTTCTCTGGTTTGAGGTCCCGGTAGATGATGCCTTGGGAGTGGAGGTGGCCCAGGGCCAGTGTGATCTCTGCTAGGTAGAAACTGCAGAGACAGGACAGGGTGAAGGCGAGGGTGCCCCGGGAGCACCCCCTTCCCGGAGAGAGGCAGGAGGTAACACCCACCAGGCCGTGTCTTCCAGGAAGATGCCCTCTCGCTCAAGATGTGTGAAGAGCTCGCCGCCTGCAACTCAAACACGTCAGCGGCTGTGTGCTGGAACCAAGCTCCTTTGCTCTCCGAGTCTTGGTTTCTTCTTGGGGAGAGTGGGGCTCGTATTTCCCGCCCTACCTGCCTCACAGAGCTGCCGTGGGGGTTCAATTCAATTCAGCAAACATCTACCGACGCCTACTCGGTGCCTGGCCCTGTGCTGGGTGAAGCTGGGGACACAGAGATGAAGAGACCCAGCCATTGCCCTCAGGATGCTCAGTCTAGTGAGGAGACAGACACGCACACAATGGCTCTAATAGGCCAAACTGAGACCACAGCTCCGAGAGCTTAACCCAAAAAATCTCACAGAGGAGACAAAGGAAGATAAAATTAACCCCAAAGTGAGGGGACAGAAGTCTGTGGCAGTGATGGGACTTCAAGGGGATGCTGAGATGGAGCCCAGGGAATGGCACTCACAGGGCCCCCCTGGTACAGACGGGGTCGGGGGGGAAAGTGGGCCTGGACTGCTCCATGGCGAACAGGAAGCCACGCTTTTTCTGGGCAGTTACAGGGAGCCATGAATTCTGAGCAGTGCTGGGAACAATGCCACCCTCTGAGACGACCCTGGGAGGGAGTGGGGACACTAGGAGATGGTGAGTCTAAGTTAAGGAGCAACTGTGCCTCTCTCCTTCCCCCAAGAGAGTGGAGAGGATGCAGGACACTGTAGAGGATGACCCAGCTGGATCTGGGACCTGACTGGATGCAGGACACGCAGGAGAGAGGGACAGGACATGAAGAAAATGGATAAAACCACCCTCTAGATTTCTATACAAACTCCCACCATTCCCATCCACCCCCACCCAACACAGGTGAAGGACACAATAGGTGCTGGACAGACATTTGCTGAATGAATGAATGGACAGACAGATGGATGGCCCCCTAGCCATCTACACGCCACATTTCCCAGGCCTCCCCAGAGCGCCCAGTGCTTCCAGTGCTGGCTCCTTGGCCCCACCCATGCCCCTGGCCGGACGGGCACTCATACCACTGAGGCACTCGAGGATGAGGTAGAGTTTGCCACCAGTCTGGAAGGCGTAGGCCAGTTCCACAATGAAGGGGTGCTTCACGGACTCTAGAATGTTCCGCTCAGCCCGTGTGTGTGCCGTGTCCTTGGCGTTGCGCACAATTTTGGCCTGGAGAGGCAGGGACAGGTTAGAAGGTGGGCACTCAGGGCTCCTTCTGTCCCTCCAGCCATCATCCTTCAGTCACCCTCTATCACTCCAGTGTATTTCTCCATAATTCTGCTGCTATCAGCAATCATTCCTGTCAAGGACTGGCTTGTCCTCTAGCATTTCTCAACCTTGGCACTACCGACATCTTGGGCAGATAATTCTTTGCTGTAGGGGGCTGTCCTGTGCACTGCAGGATATTTAGTAGCAGCCCTGGCCTCTGTGCACTGGATATCAGCAGCACTCTAGTTGTGATGCTAAAATGTATACAGGCGTTGCCAAATGTCCCCTGGGAGGCAAAACATTCCATGGTTGAGAATTACTGCAAACAACACAGTCATGCCCCACACGATGACATTTTAGTCAACAACGAACCGCATATACAACGGTGGTCCCACAAGATTATAATGGAGCTGAAAGTTCCTATCCTCTGGTGACGGCATAAAGTCCTAGAGCAACGCATTCCACATGTGTCTGTGTGATGCTGACGCCAAAAACCTCCTGCGCTGCCAGTCGTATAAAAGTATGGCGCGTACAGTTACGCAGGGTACACAATACTTGATAACGATAATAGATGACTACCACTGGCTTACCTATGGGCTACATTTTTTATCTCTATTTTAAAGTATATTCTTTTTACTTACAAAAAAGAATGTGCTGGAAAACAGTGTGCTGTTACGCCAGCAGCAGCCTCATACTTCTCGTGTTTGCCGTGCCTCCCGATGACACCATTCTCTTACACAGGATTTAATCTTGTGTTGTTTTGCACACCGAGACGCTTTCCATGCTGGTAGCCCAGGAGCAGTAGGCTCTACCACACAACCCAGGTATACGGCAAGCCAGACCACCCAGGTTTGTGTAAGTGTCCTCTGTGACGTTCGCACGACGAAACTGCCTGACTACGCATTTCTCAGAATCTATGCCCTCGTTAAGTGGTACATGACGGTAATTACGACTGACGATAAACCAGCAAATGCCCAAGACAGGGACCATGTCCTCTGCTATGCTCGCTGCTGTCTTCCCAAAGCCTGGTGTAGGGCGTCGGGAATGGCAGCCACTCGGTGAAGATCTGTGGCCGAGCGAGTGACTCACCTTCCTCAGGACTTTCATGGCGTATATTTTGCCCAAGTTGCTGCCCTGCACCTTTCGCACCTGGAACACCTGTAGGGCAGGGAAGACAGGATCAACTTCCCCCTCCACATCCCATCTTCAAAAAGCCCCACCCTGAAGCTCTGGCATCTGGATGAGAGGCCTAGGCCCACCCAAGGGTGGGGCAGTAAACAGTTCAAATCTGATTCTGAGGATCTGCCTTTCTCTCCTTTGTGTTTTCGCCTCTGGGCTCTATCAGAGGCTCTGCTGATTTATAAATGGAATTTGTCTTGAGAACCCTTTGCTGAAGCAAGGCTGAGGCTGTGAGGCCGGGGAGGCAGGAGCGGGGCCAGTACCTTGCCATAGCCCCCCTTGCCCAGCACACGCAGCAGCTCAAAGCAGTGGGGTCCAATGCGCTCAGGGCCCAGGTTCACACTGGTCTCAGTGAGCTCCACCTCTTCATAGTGTCCCACAGGCCTGTGGACACAGGAAGTTAAAAGGGGCAAGGCTCCATACTCCCCAGACCCCTTTCCCCAGCCCATTCCCTCCTCCCCCAACACGACCCTCACTCACTCCAGGCCAGCAGCCCTCAACTCGGCAAGGGGACACACGTCCTGTGAGAAACCGAGGGGTAAGAGGCGAGGGAGGTGCCAGGATCCCTCCCGCACAAGCTGGACTGCTTGGCCCAGGAGAGGAAGGGGTCAGAAATGGGAACTGGCAGGCGATGGGCCAGGACTGGGGAGGAGAGGCCAAGGGCAGAAAAGCGAGAAAGAATCAGGGGAAGGGCTGGGGTCCTGGAAGACAGGTCGGGGTGAGGCTGGGGTCAAAGCTTAATAGGGGTCGGGATCTGAGAAAGACCGGGGACTGCAAGAGCGGAGCCCAGTCTAGGTCGGCGGAGGCGAGGCGATCGCATCGCCAGGGTGATGGGCATGGCTCCGGGATCGAGCTTCGCCCGAGCGGCTCACTCACCGCGGGGCTGAACTCTGGCTCGCCCTCGCCCTCGCTGCCTTCCTCCGTCTCCAGGTCCAGGTCAAACACCGCCGCCATGGCGGCGCCCGCCTCGCGGGCCCCTCGCCCGGGACCTGGCCGCGTTGTGACTGACAGCACGGGCCCAAAACTGTACGTTATCATTCCGCGACGGCGGCGGCGCGCGCCGATGACGCAAGAGGCGTCGCCCTCCTTCCAGGGGCCGCTTAGCCTGGCGAGGCGAAAACATGGCGCCCGTCGCAAGGCCTCTCGGAAGTTGTAGTCCCAGAGGGTCGAGGTTCTCAAACCTACGGAACCCTTTTTGGCGAGACCTTCAGTCCGGGCCCAAAACTGTACGTTATCATTCCGCGACGGCGGCGGCGCGCGCCGATGACGCAAGAGGCGTCGCCCTCCTTCCAGGGGCCGCTTAGCCTGGCGAGGCGAAAACATGGCGCCCGTCGCAAGGCCTCTCGGAAGTTGTAGTCCCAGAGGGTCGAGGTTCTCAAACCTACGGAACCCTTTTTGGCGAGACCTTCAGTCTTCCCGGCACAGTAATCGGCGAGCGGGAGCGGAGAGGGGCGGCTGGGAAGCGCCCATGTTGGCTCTTGGGAGAGTTTGAGTTTGGATGGAGCAGAGTCGGAAGCGCATACAGATGAGTGTAAATGCAATCCCCAGCCCTGTTGAACTCTGTGCTGCCGGCCGGCTGGATGGTAAGAGGCAGGCCGTGTCTTCTGTTTGCCCCTGAAAGGGAGGCAACTGCATCAGGGTCTCCCTTACATGCCTCCATGCTCGAGGATTCTGCAGGTCAGGGAATTCACTCGGTGTTTGCTCCGCACCCAGCTCGCCCCAAAAGATCTGTGTCTCATCGATCCATCTGTTAACATGGGCTTGTGCTGGAGTTTGCTCGGTTGCCAACTTAAGCACATTTAGTAATCCAGTTACCTGGTACAGAATAAGCGCTTAATAAAACTTCATTAAAAGAACGAATGAACACACCAAACCGGGTCTGCGACTTTAAATTTGGGCATGGATTTTTGTTGGGTGGGGCTCTGCGGGGATTGAATTTGGTCCAGACCAGGCCTTGAATGGATATGAACTCAGATGGGCAGACATTAGGGGTCTCCAGGCTGGAGGAGGGTTATCTGGTTGCATGTGGCTCTCTGGTCGTAATTCCGCCCTCAGGAGATCCTCAGGTTTGGGTCCTGGCGTGGGTGCCCCTGGCAGGCCCCCACCAAAGGTCAACCCAAAGGCCTGGCCAGTGTGACGGTCATCCTTACCTCTAGATACCACAGGTATCCTCTAGCTACCTCCCCCTCCTCCCTTCCCCAGCCCCCATCTTACTGAGCCTGAGAGGTATCATCCCAGTCGCAAGAACCTGTCCCAGACTCTGGACATTTCCATAGACCTTAAGCCTTTATTTGAAGAGGGACGCTTATGGAGCTGTCCACAGCTCCTGTGCTGCACAGAGGGACGAATTCTTAAAGCAGCCTCCCCTGACTTAGGAAGGGCGTGCAGACTCTCCTCTGCTGGTGCTGGTTAGGTGTGCCAAAGGCCAAAGCACCAAAGCTTGGTGGAGATACGTGGTGCATGGGAGGGGCGTGTTCACACATCTCAGGACCACGTATGAATGAGTGTGGGGAGGTGAGCAGGGCCTAGAAGCTGAGTGGGCATGTAAGACTTAGTAAAAGCAGAAACTCGGACCCTACGTCTTGTTCCTCAACCTTCCATCCACCGTGATATGAACTTGGGGCAATGGTTTTGTCCTCTTTGAGCCTGTTTCCTCATCTGTAGAATGGGGCGATCATGTCTACCTAGAGGGGAGACGATTACTGCTGATCCCAGGTCACCTGTTTCTACTGCTCAGGCCAAACGAGGCAGGAGGCGTGCTGCCGAAAGTTGTCAGCAGGCTCTAGAACCATCCTGAAATATGTTAAATGAGGGGACGAGAGTTAAGAGGACATCAGATTTAGTCTCAGGTTGTCTTGGGATTTGTCAAAGGCCAGGGGCCTGCCAGGTTCTCTCCTCCTGTAGATGGCGGAGACACTTGGAGAGGTGTGGAGGGCGGACCGGATTTGGGTCCACTCCTGCCTCCCTGGGGGTGGGGTGGGGAGATACGTGGGTGGTATGTGAGGCTGTCGTCAATTCTCCATGGCTAGAGTCCTGGGGCAGCTGTGGGCTGGACTGGGGACTTTGGGAGGGCAGGAGATACTTTTATGGCCCTTGAGCCCAGGGGAGTCTTGGTGTCAAAATGGCTCTGCCACTCTGGAACAGACCTGAGGCCTTGGAGTGGGGTGGGCTGGGCCAGGATTGAGGCAGGGCCATGGGAAGAGGCAGAGAGAGCGTCAGGTGGCAGAAGGCACCACAGTCCCCACCTCCAGCACTCTACCCCTTTCTCCTAGCTCCAGTGCTATTTGAAGTGGGACAGGAAGTGGGCAACGGGGTAGTGGGGCCCGTCGATGCCCAGGCCCTGGCAGAGGCCCAGCAGGCGCAGGCGGGCCTCGGCCGGGCTGGACCCAGCGCAGGCCACATTGCAGTAGGGCTCCTCGTACTCACTAGGCACCAGGGCCTCCTCTAAAGATAGAAATACGTTGAAGCGCAGCAGGCCGCCGTCATGAAGAGCCTGCAGAGCCTCTTGACTGGCTGTGGAACTCAGCACCTGCAGGTGCTGGGACACCAGGCACATGACCCCCACCAAGTGGCCACGGGCCCGTGCGTGGGCAGGCAAGGCGGGCCGAAGCCTGCAGGCTACCATAGCAGCAGCCAGCAGCAGGTCCACACCGTAGAGCTCGAGGATCCAGTCTCGAAGGTAGAAGCCACCCATGCGGGGATTGATCTCGATGAGCCGTGGCCCAGCCCTGGTCAGCTTGAGCTCCACATTGAAGACTCCATCCAGCAGCCCGCAGCCCAGGCAACAGCGGAAGGCTGCCTGCACCAGCTGCGCCTCCTGCTCCGGTGCCAGCCCGGTGGGCATGCAGGCTGCCGTCTCAGTGAAGCCAGGCAGCCGGGTGGGGCCATTGTCAGAGACAAAGGCAGCCAGCAGTTGACCACCAAACACCACCAGGTCCACATCGTGTTCGGTGCCTTCAACGAACTCCATCAGCAGCATGGCATTGCCCCAGCCCAGCCCAATGCCAGGGTGATCGGCCTCACCTTGCAGATCTCGGACGATCCGAGAAAAATGCTCGTGGCACTGTGGTGCATCCTCCACCAGCCGCACGCCCACCGCGCCCGCCCCAAACTCCAGCTTCATGACGCCTGGCAGAGGCACCTGGCGTACAGCCCTTTCCACATCAGCCTCACTCTCCAGTGAGCAACAAGGCACAGCATGGAGGGAGGGCGAGGGCCAGGGTGGGCCTTGGCGGCACAACAGGTGCAGCTGAGTGCGGCTCTTCTGTTTGGCCAGGCGCATGGCAGCCGGGGGACTGCAGGGCAGACCCAGCTCCTGGCAGAGCAAGGCTGTGAGCACCAGGCAGTCATCCCAGTAGGAGAAGCAGCCATCTAGCTGCAGACCACGTGCCCGCACCAGCTCTGCCAGCAACCGTGCATTCTCCTCGTCCTTCCGGTGCTCTGTCACATCAAAGTGGATGAAGGTCTGCACGAGCTGGGATGCAAAGTGGTTGGGGTCTGACTCCACCAGGTGCAGCTGCAGAAACCACAGGGAGGGCAACACACCCAGATCAGCTGTGCTGGGCGCTGGGGAGACAGATGATGAGGCCCAGAAGGTGGTCTTGGCCCTCGGGGGAGATGAGTTCACCAGTACTAGGTGCTCAAAAAATATCTGTTGATGACTGGATAACAAAAGTGCAGAGGTAAAACACCCAACCCGGCCTGGAGGGGAGGGAAGGCATCCTGAAGGAGGCGATGCTTACGCTGGGAGCTGAGTAAGAGCCAGCCAGCGGAAAGATGGAGGGAGGAGAGAAGCAGGTAGGTGAGCTCATTTCCACAGGCAGCCTCACTCTGGCCAGGGCTTGGGACGTGGGACAGGTAGTCTAGCGTCTTGGTCATTATTCACCCAATGTGTTCTGATGCTGGGAGATGCCCACGGAGGAATCCAGTGGGGTCCCACACCCTCAAAGCTCAGTGCCCACTGAGGGAACACAGACACAAAGCAGCTGGTACTCAGGGCAGAGGCAGCCCCTGAAGAGGGAGAGGAGGGTGGCTGTCTGCACTGTAACACTTGGCGGCATGAGGAGCGAAGAGACATTCCAGGTGGAGAATACAGTGCGCAAGGCAGGGAGCGAAGGGGCCTAGGAATGGCGGGAGGAGGGGGTTGCCAAGGGGGTGTTGTATTGTAGGAGAGCGGGGAGGAGGCCACTGTAGTAGACTGGGGCCAGGAAGAGACTAGATATTTGGCCTCCGTTTTCTTATCTATTCAGTGGGAATAGGAATGTCTACTCTGCCTAAATGGCTCCAGATTCTGTAGTGTAAGGCCACTGCTGTGAACTTGATTCAGGATCTGTAAGCTGCTCCCAGCACCCACTGTTGTGCCCTCAGGATTCAACCTCAAAAGGAAGGACCTGCTCTTTCTGCAAGATAGGGCCAGGCTTCTTAGCCTGGCATTCGAAGCCCGGGTTCTGGCACTAATTCTGAACACTGCCCCACTCCCCCTCCCCGCGCCCGCGCCCCGTCTCCAGCCCGTCTACCCCGGGATCCTCTTACACCAGGCGAGGACAGCATTAGGCGAGCGACCAGAATTTACACTTCTAACCTGGGCGGGGCTGCGGGGCTGCGGGGCTGCGCCTGGGATCTGGTGCCCCCAGCGAGACCGCCTCGCTTCAAAGAGTGTGGCAGTGACTGCGTCCCCAGAAGTAGAGCTTTCTGTCATGATGCACTGCTATAGGCACCACGCAGGCGTGAGCCTGGCCCCGCCCTGCGCCCCGCCCACCTTGAGCCCGTAGTCGCGAGCTGCCTCCCACACGAACTTCTTGCTGAAGCCGCCCCCGCCGACCACCAGGAGCTGCTTCCCCTCCATGAGGCACCGTGCCGAGCGCCGCAGCATGGTCTCCACCAGCGGCGCGGCTGCCGCTGCCTCCTCGGCCGCCAGCCCCGCGCGCGGGGCGGCCCAGAGCCCCTCGATCACGCCGCACGCTTCCAGGCAGAGGCCGCCGTTCAGCTCCAAGGCCACGGGAGTCAGCGCGCCACCCGCCACCGTCAGTGCGAAGTCCACGCCTGGGCCGGGCGGGGGGCGCGGGCTCAGCGCGGGCCGCCTTCGGGTCTCGCTCTCTGGCCCCCAGCCTCGGTCCCCGGGCCACCCGTACTCACCGAGGAAGTCAGTGCAGGCCTGGCGCCCGCCGCGCTGCTCAGCGCTCAGACCGGCCTCCAGGGCCAGCACAGCGGCCAGCGCAGCCTCGGCCGCCGCCTTGACGCTCCGGCGCACGACCGCCACCTGCGCCGCCTCACCCAGTCCGCACTGGGCCAGCGCCACCTCCAGCGTCCGCGGCAAAGAGTTCTGATGCCGTAGAGGCCGGTCCCCACGGCCCACGGCGCACACCACCTGGGCAGGGTGTGGCTCAGGGGGCTGGCCCTGGGAGGAGCCCTCCCAGGACCACCCCCCACACCATGCACACCTGCCCCTGTGTCAAGATCCAGGCCAGACCCTTCTGGAGGTGCAAGAGGCCCTGTTCTCCAGTGTGACTTACACGGGTCCCTAGACCCCTGAGGGATTCTGCCCAGGCTTTCAGGCCCAGCTGGGGGCTCCAAGCTCCTGCAGCCCTGCGGGCCTGTGCCACCTCGGTGTGCCCCAGCCCTGGATCTCCTCGAGGGCGGGGCTGAGTCTCTTCCTCTCAGCTTGGCCTACAGCTGTGCACCTAGGAGGGTCCCCAAGTCTCCCTTGGCTCCCCAGCTTGGCAGTCCCTCTTACAGAGCTCCAGGCACTGGAGGTTTATCAGGGACCCCGAGTCAGCCTCTCCTCCTGGGAAGAGGATTCAGCCCTAAGCTTCCGCCCCAGCTTGGGGTATCAGGCAGGGCTCCTGATGTGGGAGGGGTGCAGGAAAGCTAGGAGGGGAGGGGAAAAGTGTCAGACCCTGGAGCCCTCCTAGAGGCAACCCATTTTCTCCCTCAAAGATCCTGTCCTCTCTCTGCTCAGGGACCCTCAGCTCAGTGGGGCTGGACCGGGGTATGGCAACGGGGTCATGACCTGAACCTGGGTCACGCTCACCTTGCTCAACAGGGGCCTGTCGCCCTGTGTCCGACACACCACAGCACAGATCCGCACAGCCAGCTCTGGGCCAGGTGGAGGACTGCCTGGGGGAAGGTGGTGAGGCCTGAGCCCAGCACAGAAGAGCCAGGAAGCTGAGCCAAGTTCCTACCGCTGGCCCGCCCAGGCGGCTCTCACCTGGGAAGGGCATCCGGGCAGGTAGGCACACAGCCTCCACCACGACACTCTCCTCCTCCTCCAGTTTCTCCAGCAATGCTAGCACTGTGTCAGCCACCATGCCCACCTCTGCTCGTGGCCGCAGACGCAAGGCCTGCCGCCCCCGCCAGCGCCAGCTGCTGAGCTTGATGGCCACCTGCAACAGGAAGGGGAAGGGGCCTCCTCACCACCCCACGTACCTGTGGGACGGGATGTCATACCATAGGAGCAATGAGTAAACTGAGGTAGGAAGGCAGGGGATTGCCACAGAGAGATGGGGCAGCAGTAGGGCTCCAAAGCGGGACAGTTTCCCAGCAGGACTTGGTAACCACCCACGCATCCTGTCCTCCTGGCATCTGCACAGACCTTGGGGACAGCAGCCTGTTACCTGCAGGGCATCACCCAGGGCCTCAGAGTGCAGAAAGGCCCCGACTTCCTCCTTCACCAGTGTCTCCTGGCCCTCTTTGCCACTCAGCTCCACCAGCCTCAGTCCTGGGCTGGCTTCCCCTCCCTGCAGCAGTGCCGGTGGCTTGTAGGTGAAAGCCAGGGTAGCTGGCACAGCCACGCCACCCTGCTGGGCCAGCAATTGCCTTGTCAGCAGCCGATCCTCCAGCAGCCGGGCCAACTCGGCCGTGGCTCCTGTAGGGCAGGTGAGGTCACGGGCAAGCTCAGCTGCCTCCCGACCCCAGCCAGACCCCGGTCTCAGGCCCGCCAGGAAGTAGGTGGCGCGGCGTGGGGGAACAAAGTCATCCAGGAACGTCAGGCCCCCTGGGTGGAAGCTCACTGCCTTGGAGACCAGTAGGGCCGCCTCGCCTGGCTGTCCCGGCGCTGGCACCTTCGTCAGCCAAGCGGGGGACAGGCAAAGAAGCATGTTTCCTGTGGGCACAGTGGGGAGAGTTGCTGGCCAGGGAAGGCTTCATGCCCCCATGTGCTCCACCTCCGGCCAGGGCCCCTGGGTAGTGGGGAACAGCTGCTCCCAGAACCCACCCCCACTTAGAGCATGGCAGCTGGTCCAATGGAATGCAGCCAGTTGCCAGGCTTGACGGGTATTTTGGGATGTGACTGGTCCAAGGCAGGGCTGCCCTTTCTGTGGGAGGGGGTGGGGGAACTTGGGCACACACTCACCCGGACTCTGGACCCCAGCCTCCAGCAGCACAGACAGAAAGGTGCTGGGGGATCCCAGAATGCACAAGGTCACCTCTGCCCCAGGGAAGCCTCGGGGGAAGAGAACAATGCTAAACTCACCCGGGGCTCCCCTTGCCGACTTTCCGCCCACCTTTCCCAGCCCCATGGCCCTTCCGGGTATGGATAAGAAGTCGGGGACAGAGGGGAAGCTGGAGGGGGAAGGGGAAGCTGCCGCCCCTCCCCACCCCGGGAGGCTGGCTTCCTTCTCTCTGTAGCTGGTTCAGAAGGCTCTGGAGCCTGGGTGACTGGAGAACTGAGTTCTAGCCTGAGCTCTGCCACTGGCTTTCTGTGGGACTTTTGGCCCCTGTGCAGTGGGAGGGGGAGTCTCTGGGCCTTGGTTTCCCAGTCCGTACAATGGGGCCAAGGCTATGATTTTTTTTCAAGTATTCTAGCCATGAATTCTCCATCCACACAAAATCTTCGGTGACCACCTGATGTGTAAAACGGGTAAACTGGGGGAGTCTTGGGTGCCAACCGCTAGCTGCCCCTACTGCAGCTCCCAAGACACTTCTAAGAAGCTTTGAATCCACAGAACATGGGCTGCAAACCCATGGGCCAGATCTTCCGGGGTGGAGGGAAGCCTTGATCTCTGACTTCGACTGGTACCCGAGACCCTTGGAAGCAATGCCTGCCTCCTGAAGTTGGCTGGCTTATCTCCCTGGCTTCAGACCTAGCCAGAGGCTGGGGGAAGGGGCTGACCTCCACAGGGACCGGAAGCAAGCTGGGCTGTGGGCACCTCCCTCCCCCCAGGAGAGCCCCCTCCATAGAGCCCTCAGGCACCTGTGCGGGGCACCTGGCTGCGGTCCTGGGTCTCCGGAAGGCCAGCTTGCTGCAGACAGCTCTGCAGGAGGCTGTAGTAGTAGACAGTCCAGGCCCGGGCCTCCGCCCCCTCGGGGCAGCCCTTGCAGTCCAGGCCCACGTCCTGGCGCCAGGAGCCAGGGAAGTAACCCGGGGGCGGCGGGCCAGAGCCTCCTCCCCATGGGCCCTCCTCTTCCTCCAGGTCCTTGGAGCCCAGGGAGCAGGGCCACTCGAGACCCAGCGGATCTAGGGAGAGCTGGGGGTGGGGGGGCAGAGTGGTAGGTGTTGGGCAGGGTGGCCAAGGGGTACACTGAGTCACCAAGGATATAAGCCTAACCTCGGGTTACATTCAGGCAGACCCTGTACCAAGAACCAGGAGAGGACGAGGCTGGATGGGGGAGTAAAGACCAGGACCGTGTAGGCGGGAGTGCTTTGTAAACTGTATGTGCTGTGTCCTGGGGGGTGGGGGCCGAAAGACGTGTGCTGCTGGCGGGATCACTGCCACCCCCTCCACGCAGGGGTCTGCCCTGGCTTGGTTCACAGAGGCAGAGGTTTTTGTTTTTTGTTTTTTAAGCAGCCCTGGCACCTAAAACAGTGCCTGGTACACTGTAGCTGCTCAATAAATGTTGACAGACGAATAAATGAACAAATGAACCAATCACTCTCAGTTTGCTGCTGATTTCTTTCTGGCCTTGGTGACCTATCTGCCATCATGGAGTTCTGCCAAGACCTGAATATGTAGGTGAATCTGTTCCTTGTCATCTCCGGGTCGGCCTCGAAGGCCTGTAGGCATTGGTAGGAGTGGAGCTGGAGCCCTTTTCAGATATTCTGAATCACAAAAATGCTTTCTTTGGATGACATCGTATGCACCTGCCCCTCTCTGAGGCTGGCTGACTCCCACAGGGGCTGCTCAGAGGCTCAGCGTGAACACAGGTGAGCCTGTCTTCCGGGGGGGGGGGGGCAGGCTGGGCCACCTTGGAAAAGTTGTGAGGTTTCTTTGGACCTCGTGGGTGCCAGGTGCCTGCACTGTCCCGCCCTTGGGTGCTGATGAGGCTTGAACCAAGAGAATCACCTCGGTCACTGGGAGATAGTATGCTGGATGAGGCCAGGAGGGCAGAGGTCTGGACCTCAGACCTGGGCTTGAATCCCAGCTCGCCAGCGCCAAGCTCTGAGCCCCGGTGCCCTGCTTTAGAAGGCCAATTACCTTAGAGCCCAGACGGAGTTCATGGCTATGACCCCTACAATGGTGCTAGATGCATAGTAGGTGCTCAGTAAATGTTGCAGAATGAATGAATGCCTAAGGAGACCAACAGTGCCCACCTCCCAGGGCTGATGGGGAGAGATGGAGTGCCTGGCACCTAGCAGCTGCTTGTCCCATGGCACAGAATGGGGAGGCAAGGGAGGGCATATGCAGCTGGTTATGGGTGTGAGCTGTGTGCACAGGACAGTCCCCAGGGATAGGCTTCTGGGTGCCAGACGCTGCCTCCTGGACCCTCCCTCTTGTGGGAGACTCTGGCATTTGTGGGGAGGGACCAGAGACTCACCATCTTACAGGTGGAGAGGCTGAGAGCCTGATGACAAAGACAGAGAGGGAGAGACGAGGGAAGGAGTCAGGGCAGCGGGGTCTCCGACCCCCCCTCCACGGCCCAGCCCCTAAGACTTTGAGGGCGGAGAGGTGACCACGACAGTGTCTCTCTCTTGTTCCTGCCAGGAGGTGTCCAAGGCTGCCCCACCCCCACCCCAAGGAGGCGGAGGGACTTTTGCACCCGGACCCATGGGTCCTGCACCGGGAGCTCACACATCATGGGGCGATGTGTGGGCTCCAGCCCCGCAGCTCTGGGAGGTCCTGGAACTCAGCCCTTCCAGCGGGGGGCGTGCCGGGTCCCCTCGTGGGTATGTGGAGGCGAGTAGTGTCGCGGGTCCCGCTGGGGGGCGCGGGAGCTCAAGGTTCCCGTGCTCTAGGCCCCTGCCCCCGCAGCCCCCCTCCCTGGCTCTCTCCGGGGCGCGGGCAGGAGCCGGGGTACCTGGCGGGCGGGCGGCAGAGGCGCGGTGAAGTTCGGCGGGCGGCACGGACCGGGTGAGGGCGCGGCGACGGGGGCGACACAGCGCGGG